GGTTGATGGGTTCATCCAACGGGTTCGGGTCCAACGGGTTAATGCGCTCCTGGGACGGGTTTGACGTCCAACGGGTTGGGTCCAGCGTGTTCAACTCCCAACGGGTTAATGCGCTCATGGGACGGGTTCGACGTCCAACGGGTTAATGCGCTCGTGGGACGGGTTTGACGTCCAACGGGTTGGGTCCAGCGTGTTCGACTTCCTCATCCAACGGGTTCGACGTCCAACGGGTTTGGGTCCAACGGGTTTGACTTTCAATGGGTTAACGGGTTTGCGTCTAATTTAACCGCCTATCCTGACCTCACTGCCCACCCCTGTCTCTAGCCTCACTCTTTTTCAACCCTAACCCTGACTCTGACCACCTCATCCTTCCCCCCAGCCTCTACCCTCACTCTTTGTAACCCTAACCCTGATCCATTATCATATGGGATGATACTGTTTGAAACTGATCTTTTGAACCTGATCTACTTTCTCTTGATGTTATATCCCTTTACCCTCTGTCTCTTGCTTCACCTGCCTTTATATATATATACATCTTTCATCCTCCTGTGGTGCCTCTCACCCGTGATGTGCCCCTCACCCATGATATCACTTGACCTCTGTACCCTCTGACTCGATCTTCCCCCTCTCTGCCTCCTGATATATCCCTCGCAGCCAACAAACCATCTCCACCAGCCGGTTGTGCTCCATGCCCTGCCCCTCAACCTTCTGTCCCAAAAATTCAATCACCGCCTCCTGATCATCTGCATCCACATTGAACTCTCTCAGCCGCTGTCTCCACGCCTGCTTCATCTGCCCTGCATGACACCCATACATCATCATTGCCACTGTCGGGATCAAAAATCCCCTGTACGGACACTGCCTCTGTGTCTTCCAGCTGTTGCATATGGACTGCGGCATCCCGCATCGGAAGCACCCGGAATACTGTGTGTATTTGATCTTGCTCCGCACTGTCATCATCCATCTCTTTGCCTCCTGGCTCTCCTCGTGGGGACACTGGTACAGCTCATGGTCAAACTCCCGCTTGCCATTTGCACATATCACACACTGATCCTTCCACCTCTGCGCCTCTTCCACTAAAACCTCCTCATCCATCAATGCCCTCTGCCCTCGCTGCTGATGTGTGATGATGAACCGGCCTTGATGGACATTCTGTTTGTGGAATGTCTGTCTGATTGTTGATGATGTGCCTCTGATGTCTTCACTGATTACCCTTCATTCTGATTGCCTGTGAACGTGTAATCCGCCTCCTTCATGGCGTTCACCACGGCCCACTCTCCCACCATCTGGCTTGCTTGGTTCCTGGCCAGCATGTCGGATGCATTGGCGTCCAGTCGCAGCGCCTTGTGCACCACCATGAACCGTGCCACCTTGATGATCCGTGACAACATTGGTGGGTAGCTCTCGGCGTCGCGCCATCCATACTCCCCCCGTCCCAGCACCGCCAACGTGTCTACCAGCGCGCACTCATAATCCTCCACCTGAACCCGCTGGTTCAGCAGCTCAATGCAAAAATCCAAACATGCCATCTGGATCTTGGTTAATTTGAACTTATCTTCTTCTTCTGACTGGGTATCTCTCTGTCCCTTTTCCTCCTCCTCTTCTTCTTCCTCAGTCATCTGCTCATCCATGGGGTCTGGGCTGATGGAGTGTCGCTGGTCGGCTCCTCTGGGATATGCGACAGCTGGCCTGTTCTGCCAGTGCTTGCCCATGGGTTCTGGTTCCT